TTATAGATTAAAAGTATTTAATATGATGATATCTTAACGAACAATTCTTTGTGGACAATATTATTTTTTGGATATTTCTTCCTAATGCTTTGGTTGCTCTACCTTAACCAAAACTCTTGTTTTCGATCTTGATATCCCTCTTGAAAGTGCAACATACAGTTGTTCATGCAAGAAAACATATTGCGATAAATATAGTACAATATTTAGGATGTTTGTCCTTGTGCTTTATTTATTATATTTGCAAAACATGAACATACTAAAAATTATTTTCACACAAATTTAAAAGGATATTTCTTAGTTTCGAAAGACGAAAGCTGAATCCAGGAATAAGAATATACATAGAAGTACATTGACCAGTATCATAATTTTTGCATGTATGACGTTATTGTCAAAATTTCTATATACCATTGTGTGCTATTACATAAGCTATTTGGCATATCTAAGTTTTTCAGTAGCATGACGGGCATATTTTTCTTCAAAATCAACCTATATACAGTGAAAAATCAATTTTAACTTAGTCTATTATATACGGTGACACTAACATATGTAGGAAATAATAAACTTGACAACAAACATGTATGGTAGAAGGCCATTTAGTATTAAAGTATTTAAGTATTCTCTTGGTAGTAATTATTGATATCATTTTTTGCTGAATCAAAAACAGAAAAATATTTTGTTTATTATATAAAATTTTGCAATCAACCTTTTATTTAGTTGATCAACATATTCATTGCTGCTAGCTAAGATATCTTTTAATTCTATCATGCGATTTGCACACATTGCGTTTTAGTCTAATGATCTCTAATTAAATGCACTACTATTACCATTGGGATTGATAACCAAGTGTTCAGAAGAATCAAATTATTTTTTATTAGATGATCTTCTTCGTTTCCGACACGAAGCAAGAAGACACTGAATACTGGATCTGTTCTTACTTTATATTTCTTACCAATACAGAGGATTTTTGTAAAATTGATTTTGTTAAACCTTCCTACATCTTTTTAATAAGAATTTAATAGATAAAAGTTTATTAATTTTAAATTATTAAATATTAAAAATTAGCATAAAAGGTATTGTAGTCCAAAAAATAGGTAATTGCAATTATGTCCTTTCCCTGTGAGTTCTTCCGTTTAATATTTTAGGGCTATTTTGGTATATTAATATTGTATTTATGCTTTTATAATAATATAGGGTCTCCTTTTTCTAAATTGATTTGGACAATATAATACATTCTCAAATTAAATTAGTAATAAGGCATTAGAATACGTTTTCAAATTAAATTAGTAATAGGAATTTTTATGAAGTATGTCCTAAAAGTAATAGGATTACGTGACTAAATAATTACTATTTTTCCTGGCAATAATTACTTTTTCTATGCTAATGGTGATACTAATTGTAGAAATATTTGACGTAGTAAATTATAAAAATAGAAAAGTATAATTTAACAACCAAGCTTTTAAGTAATTACTTATCGATTTAAAATTAAGAATGACAAATAGTTTGCTGTGAAAGAAAATATAGAGGCAAACCTAACCTTGTATGATTAAAATATTAGGACAAAGAACACATAAGTTATCGTGTAGTTCTATTGTTGGAAAAAGTAGGATATAGTTTATTCATACGTTTATGCTTTTACATGATTTTGTGTTTTAATTCATATTTTTAGATTGTCGATGGTTTTCTTTTTTCGTTTTAAATAATTTATATGAAGTAAAATTTTAATTAACTTTAATTAGACAACCTAAGAAAGTAATAATATTAATAGGATTCCTAAAAGTAATCATGTAGGATTCATAAAGTGTAGTATTATATTCTACAACTAATAGGATTATAAGACTAATATCTAGAATTTCGGTTATGTCCTTTTATTATGAGTTATTATACTTAATATTATAAGGTTATTTTTGTAAACCGACATTATATTCATGCATTTATAATAATATAGATAAACAGAAATAAACAGGTAAATTCCATAACTCAGTGAATGCCACAAATAAATTTAACAGATAAATGCAGCAACAACACAAATAAATACAACCTCACAGCAGTGTCACTCTAGCACTCATCATTCGCGCTCAACACTCAACACACTCAAAACACTCAACACTCTGCGCTCACTGGAGGTGTGTATAGACTCCGGAGGGGCTCCCAAAGCCCAAGCGCTATGCACGGACAACTCACATGCCATCATATCAATACCTGGATCTGCACGGTCAACTCACGTGCTACGCGGACAACTCATGCGCTATGATATCAATACCTGGACCCGCACGGTCAACTCACGTGCTACACGAACAACTCACGCGCTATGGTGTTAATATCCTCACAACCAGGCCCTCAGCCTCACTTAATCAAGTACCTCTCCAGCCTTACAATGCACCACCAATAAGGAGACACAACCCACATCAAGTATCACAACATATCAGCAAAATAATAGAGACTAATATAAACATGTACAATAATTTCTATCACTGAGTACAAATAATGTGAGCATGAATAAAGCCTAAGCATGATCTCTAACATGAAGGCAAACAAGTTCAACAACAAGTAAACACATAACCACAGATAATAGCTATTAGGCCTCGCAACCTTACGGGACGGACCAAGTCTCAATCCTTCGAGGTATACACCTGCACGCCCGTCACCTAGCGTGGGTATCACCTCTAAACAATCACATGATATCAAATTCTCCAGGTTTATACCCTCAAAGAAAGAGTTAAAACTGTTACTTACCTCAACAGCGTAAAATCCTACTTCGGAATGCCCTCGTCTCTGGACTTGGTCTCCAAAAACTTCGAATCTATCCATAATAAGAATACTATTATCAACATAGTCTAAAGAATCGAATTCCACAATAAAACTACATAAATATGCCAGAAATCCAAAATCGGCCAAAACCCGGCCCCCGGGCCAACGTCTCGAAATCAATCAAAATGGCTGAATAATAAACCTCATCCTCTCATGAGTCTAACCATATAAAATTTATCAAAATCGGACTCTATTTGGTCAATCAAATCCCTATCTAAAACTCTCCAAAACTCAAGCCCTAACTCCCTCAATTTCACTTTGAAATCATCAATCAAATCCCAAAAACGAAGACGGATTCATGAAATATAACCAAAACCGAGTAGCGAACACTTACCCCAATCCCTATGGTGAAAATCGCCTCCAAATTGCCCAAATCCAAGCTCTCCAACTCAAAATATGACCGAATGAACAAACCCTTATTTTATATATTTTATGCCAGTTATTTTGCCTCGTTTCTCATGCCAAACAATCCCGAAACTCGCTTTTTATGCCTCTAGTAGATTCATTGTGCAATTCTAGTTAAGTTAGGCTTTTGAATCACTCAATTTTACCTTATAATGAATGAGATATGTTGGTTTCAATATTTGCAAATAATTCAAATTTTTAAATACGCCGTCAGTGGCAATTTCGTAATTAATCTGAAAAATCTGGCAACCTAATTCTTAGTAAAATGACAACAAAATCCTCATACGATGTCCAAATTCGACCATTCTTTTTGTTACGGGTCCGTAATTACGATACGGATCTAATGCTTCATTCAAAAAAGAAATCAGAGCTCGTTTGTTCAATATGATATCATTTATGCTTGAAGAAACGACGTCGAAACATAAGAAAAACGAGCGCAACACAATCCAAACCTATCTGAAACTTACCCGAGGCCCTCGGGACCTCAACCAATAATTCCAACAAGTCATATATTCTACCCGAACTTAGTTGAACCTCCGAAACACCCAAAACAACACCAAAACACTAAATCAACCTTGAATTCAAGCCTAAGAACTTCTAAACTTCTAACTTTCGCCAATTCAAGCCTAATTTTACCATGGACCTCCAAATTACATTCTGGACGCACTCCTAAGTCTAAAATCACCCAACGAAGCTAATCGAATCATAAAAATCCAAATCTGAATTCGTTTACTCATAAGTCATCTTCCATTTGACTTTTCTAACTTAGCTTTATAACTAAGAGACTAAGTATTCATTTCACTCCAAAACTACTCCGAACCCAAACCTACCAACTCGATACAACTTAACACAGCTGAACAACATATAAATAAGCATAGATAAAGAAATGTGGCTATAACTCTTAGAACAAACGATCGGGTCAATACATTAATAGGGTGCTAGCACCCCACAAACCTTAAGGAGAATGATTTAAATTTATCTTTTCGAAACTTCATTAGAGTCAAGGAAAAAAATACTAGACGTACTGCTATAGCTACAAGAGTGTGAATAACCATAAAGTAGAACAAATGATAAACTTAAGTGAATTATTATTGACTAATTTTTAGAGCTCAAATTTTTATAGCCTTTGTTATCACAAGTTTTTTCCCATTACTACCACATAATCCAGCAATTACCTTATTTCATCAAAACAACATGATCTACTAACAACCCCGACATACTCTTCTAGTATATTCATCCGTTGATCACTTCATATCCTTCAACAGTTTATACACATTCACGTAAAAATAATACAAGCACACAAGTTGCCTATATTTATCATTCTTTAATTATTTTTTCCATATTAAATCGCCATAGCACCACCTACTAATAAGTAACAATATCAAAATAAAATAAAATACATAAGACACGTAAAATAGAGGGACCGACTAATGTTTTTATTCTCCATTCAAACCTCACTTCCGTTTCAATTCAAGAATACTCCTTCAGCAATAAAAGATGGACGAATACTGAAACGAAAAGTTTACTAGAGATATAATTTGACTAAAGTTCAATTTTCGCTCTTTAGATCGATTTTTGGAACTTTAAAAGAGAGAGAAAGAGAAAAAAAATATTTTTTAATATTAGTCAATTTTTAAAATGGAAATTATCAATTCATGCTCGTTAAGGGAATGTACATCACACATTTTATCCAACCTATTTAAAGCAATGTCCCATAAGCTCGGTTGATGATTAGAGGTGTTTAAAACACTCATTTTGTATAAATTCAGATATCTATTTGAAATACCGTGAAGTTGTGAGACCAGAAACACGATTTCGTACCAAGTACGTGTGCCAATTTGATTATTTGGCTTTGTCCAAACGAGGTACTTGGGTAGTTGACATTTAGCACAAAACGGAAAAGAAAAAGAATAAATAAAAAGGCAAAAAACAAAAAAGGCAGTGAAAAAAAAAGGTAAAAATAGAAGAAGAAAATATCAGGAATAGCAGTGAATCGAGAGAGAGCGGAGAATGTCGTCGGAACCACCGCCATTCCAAGAAGCTTCGCGTTGTGATGTCTGCAGTTGCAGCTTCAACACTTTCCGTCGACGGGTACGTAATCCTTTCCGACATTTTCATCTTATTATTTCTCTGTCACAACAGTTTGATCTGATGACTCAAGTTTTTGCAATTTTAGTAATTTGATTTCTGCGTAGCAGATTAATTTTGTCAGCCGATACTCATCTTTCAATTATGGTTGATCTTTTCTTCTTGGGCAAAAAAGCTGAGTTATCCCCTTTTCAGCAATAAGAGCTTCTTCTTCATCTTCTGACGCACTGCGATGACTGACGAATAGGTCAATGGAATGATCCGTTTGGGAACTTATAATAATTGCTATAATGAAAAGTTCTGTAATGTACCCAATTTACCAGCAAATTGAGACAGTTACGAGTATTAGTAATTAGCTTGTCAATAAGCATTTGCCCAGCCAAGAAGAAAGAGTGGATCAGCAAGGAGAATCGCTGGGAAGTTGGGGCTGTACTTTTAACGGTTACTATTACTTTAGGGCGCACATATTAAGCGAATGCACGGCATAAGAAAAGGGAATGAGGAATTGAATTATGTCTTGTCGTTCTTGTAGTTGAGTTCAAGAGGCAAGATCAGTAAGTTGTTAAAAGTATAGTGTTGAAGTGACCTTTATTTTGTTTTCTAGGGACATTGGGTCTCATTGGTTAGTTGAAGTTTTCAAGGGTAAGATTGTTATTGCTAGGCGAGGAATTACCTTTGAATGTCGAAAATGAAGGTTTAGGGCACTGAAAGAGTTTCAAAAGGTTGTGTGGATATCTTCTACAACATCATCAGCACCTACGCCTCAATTCCAAATAAGTTGTTCTCTACTATATGAATCCTCATTGACCATGTCACTCATTTAAGCTCATCTTAGGCCAATATAACACGTGCCTAGGTGAGCACGTCCGAATGATATATTGTATTATGATGATTTATCATAAATTGGATAGTTTATGGTGGCTACCATCCTATCACAACCCTCCTCCTCTATCCGGGCTTGGGACCTGCAATGTACGCAAGCTCATGCAGGCAGAGTTGCTGTATGGATCTAAAATGCCAAAAATTTGGTTCAAACTGGAATTGCTAGCAGTAACTCTAGTACATTGATACAACAAAAGGCTATCTTAGAAGCCAACTCACAGCTCCATTCTAATTGAAAGAGCAGTAGCCATCGTGATTTTTGTTGATTTGACAAGTTGGACCTAAATGAATAATTATAAAAGAAAGGTGGGCCTAAATGAATAGCTCATGATCCACCAAATCCATAAGATTGAGGTCAATCTATAGGACTGCATTTCCATGTCTCTATATCCCCTATTTTCAGTTCCATGCTTAGGCGATAAGTAGACTACTACTGAAGAAGGTCATCCTGTCGACAACAAGAAAAGAGGGAAGTGCCATGGATGCTGTGAATATCTCTGCCTACAGCTGTATTATTAATGGTCTTAACTTTCTTCAAGTGACAATCCTCTAACGTTAGCGACTATGACTATATGCTCTTTTCCTTGTGGTTCATGCATTAATTTAGCATCTGAAGTTACAAAGATTTAAAATATTATGCATGTCAAGTTCTCTGGTTTGTTATTTGACTTGGTATTCTGTTTTTGGTAATTCCTATCTTTCTGTTCCTTTTAGACCTAATGATTTCTTTTTTACTCCTTCGCTATGTCATCCCTATTTTGAAGCCTTTTCTTATCACCTGCAGGGACTTAGCATTGTTTCAGCTATTAGTTTAAATTAGTTAAGATATTGTAATCAATTTTTAATCCGAAAAGACAAAAGAAGAGGGGAAAAAAACTAGTTCCAGATATTGTATCTGACTGCCTTCATCCTTGGGATTGTTTCTATAGCACCATTGCAGATGTTGCGGCCGAACATTTTGTGCTGAACATTCAGCAAATCAGATGGTGAGTTCTATTTGTTATATGCAGCTTTTCTTAAGCATCTTTTATGTTTTTTGGTTGGCTTACCTTTTTGCTTATGCGCAAAATTATTTCAGGCCTTACCACAATTTGGTCTTCACTCAAGTGTTAGAGTTTGTGCAGATTGTTTTAATAACTCCTCGCGGTAAATTTCTGCCATTATGACTAATGCAATATCTTATACTTCTCAATATTGAAGGCCAAAAAAGTCTTTAGTTTGCCAAATTCTGGAAGCGAGAGATGCTTTGACGCACATGTTCTCCACTTTTTCAATCATTAAGAATTTTTTTGTTTAGGAAGCAATATTATGCTCACATTAGCTCGTGGATGATTGGTGACTAGTAAATGAAATACTAGAAATCTGCTACGCTTCAGTTAACACTTAAGTTTGATTATACATTATCAAAACTAAACAGAAAAAGAAAAAGAAAAAGAAAAAGAAAAAACAGTCACAAATGTTGAAGCCTTTATTGGTGCATCATTGTGAGAATAGAATCTAGTGACAGTAGCATCTGTTCTTACATTGTCAAAGAATGTAGAGAGTCGGAAACCATCTGAAGAGTTGCTTGCAGTACCATCAGTATCAAGGACTTGGGAAATAACAGAAACGGTAAAGTTTTGGGAATTATGCTTTCTTGGCTCTGTTTGGTTAAAGATTGATCCAAGGATCATCATATTTCAGTACTGCAATATGTTAGAAGGGTATATTTTAGTCATCTTTGAGGTGTGAGGCCGTTGATTTATTCATCTGTACCTCATTGAATTTTATTTTATGAGAGTGAAAGGTTATTCGGATATATCTGTTGGTGATAGTCTGAGGTGAAACCCAAACCCCACTTGTGGGGCTACACTGGGTTTGTTATTATTGTTGTTGTATAGTCTGAGGTGAAAATTATCTTCCTAAATACAGCATGCTTTTGTTCTCCTCATACATCATTTAATACAATTCCTTATTACAATCATCTTTATTCTGCTTGAGGAAACTAAAAAGTCTTACATCCTATTACTAACTCATCTTAGTAGACCCATTGGAGATGGCATGGTAGCTGCTTCAGATGAAGTCAGTGCCCTGAAAGATTCATTTTCAGCTTTAGATGTTGGTGCCGTTGCAGATATCAAAACTAAAGATACTGACAAGCAAACTCCTGCAGTAGACATCGCAGAATGCAAATGTGGGATGCCTTTGTGTATATGTCAAGTGACAGCTACACCAACAACATCCGTCACTCCACAGGAAAGGACATATTTACTGGCCTTCAAATGCTTTTTGAGCAAATGGCATCCCCTTACATTTTCTTTTGATTCCAGCAGAGTAAAACTATGCCAAATCCAACAGTAAACACAAATCCAAAGCCAAAGAAGGAAAATAGAATTCCAACAAGTAGAGGTTCAACATCAAACAACAAGCAAGGGTATGTATATGATGTATCTAGTTGTCCTTTTGGAAAAATATGTCCAATCTTTTTTCTTCAAAAACAGATTTGCTTTTCTTTATAGCCGTTGTAACTGTGTCAGATTGAGCCAAGTTATGTTATTCGTTCTAGAAGGATTGCCATTAAATGTGTCATTGAAGCAATACTCGCCTGAGACCGGCTCAAACACATACTCAATGGATAAAGACGTGTGTATGTGAAGGAAGACAATAGATCTAATAAGAAGGAAAATATTACTACCCACCATAAAGGAAACTTTACCTATATATTAAACATTAGGAAAACTAAATAGACCCGAGTTTTGATCTTCTCAATGTACTTAATTCTTCTAATCTAACCCTTAAAAGGCAAACCGTGTTCGTCAGATATTCCCATGCCTACTAATTGGATACCTACAGATTCAACATTCACCTTAAAACTTACATGCAATCAAAAACAGGACATTCATGGACAAAGGGAGTAACAGATTTCATCTTAAGTGCTCATCACAAGAAAACATTAGCTGCATTTTTGTTCGAGTCGTTACTTCTTTTAGTGACTCTTTCTGTTGTTGGTTTCCAATTGATTTAGGATGTAGCTTATGTTATTTTTTCTTTAATAAGTGAAGTATTGATCGACTAATGTTAGAATCCTTGTTTTGTCGGAACTAGAATTTTGGGTTGTCACTTTGGAGAATCGTAGGTGCTTGGGATGTCATTTTTGTATAATCACAGGTGCTCTAGCATGTAGTTAACCTCTTACTATGTGATATATATATCTCTTTTGACTCTTAAATTCTTCTAAATAACTCAGAGTGCTTGTTTGGTTCAAGGAATTGATAAAGCAGATAGGTCATCCCTAAAGGAATTATCCTCAACTATGTGCTTTATTTATGCAACATATAGCTTCAAATACATGTCGTAGTCTATTACAGATTCCTTTTGATGCTTGGTTGTATCAGATAAAGACCGGAGTAAAACTAGAGTTCATCAGAATATCCATTAATTATAATCAGCGAACAACAACTATGTCTCAGTCGCCAACTGGTTGGTGTCGGTTATGCGTTTCGTTATTTTTCTCAATAGTCCTTTGTAATCCTAAATCTAATATAGTTATATACTTGGTTTTGAGGTTTTATATATAACAACTATATAACTCAATTTAATCTGACTCATTACTGTTAAATACTACTCGCTCCATTCCAATTTTTGTGTTTCGTTTGTTTAGGACACAAATATTAAGGACACAAATATTTAAGCTAAAGGGGTCACATAGTGCGTCAAATGTTTTGCTGCTAATACAGTGGTAGGAAGAGAGTGGGCATATACTGCCACAGTTTCGCTTTGCATTTTCCAAAGAGGTCGTTTCCATGTATCGAACCTACGGCCAATAGGTCACACTGGAGCTACTCGAGTGTTACGCCAAAACTTGCCCACTATTATATTTAAATAGAAGTGGGTTCAAATTTAGAGATGAAGAGAACTTTAGATATTATGCTTTGCCTGAGCCGAAGGTCTATCAAAAAAAGCCTCTCCAACTTGGTAGGGGTAAGATTGCGTACACAGTACCCTTCCCAGACCCTATTTGTGAAATTACATTGGGTTTGTTGTTATCGTTGAAGAGAACTGTAGACATTGTTTAGAATGACTTGGATTCTAAAGTTTCTTTTTGTTACTCGATAATGAAAAGGTTTAAGAAGTGCCGTAAAAAGTCCTTTTATGAGAACGTGGACAAAAATATACTCGAATGAATGGTGGGATTAATTAACATTTATATAGCAACTTTAAATGCATATTTAGTGCCATGCACAATTTTGGTGAACTTGCATGAAAGATTAGCAAAATAAAGTAAAATAAAGCACCTAAGAGTGTTTGCCTAGTGGTTAATGAAGTGGGAAGAACCATGAAGTCTCAAATTCAAATCCTAGTGGAGTCAAAATTGCTAGGTGATTTCTTCTCATATGCCCAAACCTTTGTAGACAGTGTTACCCTATACTTATTCTAGTGGGAGGCAGCAAGTAACCGATGAAATTAGTTGAGGTGTGCGCAATCTGGCCCGGGCACCAACATCGTCAAAACAACAACAACAACAACATAAGTGAGGGTTGGCTATATGAATTCTCACTTCTATTTAAGCTCAACTCATGTTATCATACTACCATATCCAAAAAAAAGAAAATTAGCTTGAAGGTATTATTGTAGCTTGTGAAATCAAATCAAGGCCATGTTGGTCTTTTAGACTCTTCTATGATGAGGCTTTCTTGGCTGGATAGTTAATTCCACCTTCCCTCATGGTTAAATAGTCTCATTTTTTTGAGTGTCGCAATCACTGTATGAGTTACTCCATTTTGTAATAAAACTCCAAGGAGTTTGATTCGTATTCTCTGTAGAGTGAATTATGTATAAGCCCCAAAAAACCTTTCCCCCCAAAGTTCTAGAGAAAGTTCCAAATATAAAGTGACTTTAACATATAACTATCAAAAATTTATTTCCTCCCTTCAACTTCTGTTATTTTCTATTTAAGCCAGACAAGAGGAATGAGAATTTATTCGCAGATTTCTGTCACGTCCTTAGTTGTTAACTAAGTACACGTGCGGCACTTGACAACTCGCTCACGGTCTTGCACAACTTGCTCACGTTCTTGCTATGTCAAGTCAGCCTTACTACACTCAAGATCGCTAAGAGAATGGAAGAAAAAACACAAGAGAATTGTTAAAGGAAGCTTTGTATTAGAGAGAACTTGAATTGTTTGCTTGGTTCATGAATTACAAATGAATGCCCCCTATTTATACTAATCACCTAGAGGCTAGTATGTAAATAACAATTGTTCTACAAGTTCTTACATATTCACAACTAAGTCAATTCTCTAGAATATTCTATACAACTAGATTCTTCTAAGGACTTTCCTAACAATTCTATAGGGTTCTAGGGTCTTCCTAAGGAAACCTCTATATTTCTCTAGAACCTTCCTACAAATGCATAAATATCTAGAACTTTTCTAAGGAAATTCTCCATAGTTCTAGAATATTCCACCAAGATCTAGTCCCTAACTTATGTAACCATTCCATATGACAAAAATATATGTCAAGTGGCACCTACGTGGCATGATGATGTGGCGGGTCATGACACTCTCCCCCACCCAATTTTGTGCCGCCCTCGACACATATGCGCGCACCTCGCCTTGGCGTCACCAAAGATCTTTGTCCATTAGCCATGATGCCCTATGAAGCGGTTCTCCCTCCCATTTCACAAGGTACTGACTACCTTTCTTCTTACGCCGTTTGTACTTTGGACAACTAGCAATGATGGCCTCCATCCTTCGCCCATCGGATGCCCCTCCTTGCTCTTGGCCCGAATCTTCCCATGACTCAACCAAGTCTAGCAGCTTCTCAAGCATCGAGTCCATGCTTCTACTCCCTATTTGGCTGCCCTCCGTGGTCCAGCCTTACTGGCAAACTTGAACCCTCTGCTTGGTGCATCGTCTGAGTCCGATAGCATGCCATCACTTTATAACTCGCCATCCTCTTCAACTATGTCCGTCCAACTTTTCTTGCTGCCACCATGCTCCATTTGCATGGTGCCAAGATAGGCTTTGGAATCCCCTACTTTCGGCTTAGATTCCAAGCGCATCCCTCCAATACGGGAGGTTCCCCCTGTGTCATCCTTATGTGCTTGAGCAAAGTTCCCTATCATTGTTGCAAGCTTCCCCAACTCTGAGCATTCACTTGCCCGATGTGATCCTTCACAGAAGTAGCACCC